ACGCAGAAGAGTACGCGGAATCAGCCCCAATGGTTCATCTGAATCAAACCTTCACAACAGCCTTCACTCAGCAGTCAAGGTAAACGATTCTGGCGAAATTCTCGGTCTTTTCTTCTGTCACAACCACTCGCTTCACCTCCTCCGTCATTTCCACTATGTCTTATTCCTTGATTGCACCTACAAGACGAATAAGTATTGCATGCCCCTCCTGCACATTGCCGGCGTCACTGGATCTAACCAGTCCTTCAGTGTAGCCTTTGCTTTCCTTCATGAAGAAACCAAACCATACTACAAATGGGCTCTTCAATCCCTGCTCAACGTGTTCACCAGCAACGACATTCCGATACCTGAGGTAGTCTTGACCGACCAGGAACAAGCTCTTATGAACAGTCTCAACTCCGTTTTCCCCACAACAAAGCATCTACTGTGTACCTGGCACATCAACAAAAACTTGTTTTCTAACGGCGCCAAAATGATCAAGGACAAGAAGAAAGAGGCCAATATGATCCAACACTGGAAGAATGTCATCAACATCACGACCACCGGCGACTTTAGGGCTGCGTTCGACCGATTTGCTGGAAGTTATGGCAACAAATTTGGCAAGTACATGCGCTCAAACTGGCTCCCAGTGGCGGAGAAATATGTGAACGCCTGGACAAGGGAAGTTACCCATTTTGATCACCGGACAACATCTCGTATCAAATTGTCGCACTCATTTGTCAAATCACATCTTCTCGGTCCGAATCAATCCCTCAACTCCACCCTCAAAATGATTACCAACACAATTGAAAAACAAGTACACGAGATAAGCACAAGCCACCGCCAGGAAAAAATTGACGCTCTCATGAATCTTGGTGCCCTGTTTGACAATTGCCTGGGTCGGATCACCCATTTCGCTCTGAGGAAGGCTCAAAACAACCTGCAAATATCTGCAAACGTTGGGAAGAATGATCATTGTAACGGCTTTCATCGACTCCGGACAGGTATTCCGTGTAAACATCGCCTTGCAGAGTTGGCTCGGTCAGGGGGAAAGTTGGAACCGGAAGACTTTCACCAACAATGGCATATTCATGTATGTTTATTAAATTTTCTCCCCTCCAAGGACTAATTTTTCTCCTCTCCAATAATAACAATATGCTTTCTTTTGATCAATCAAAAAGGATCTTCAACCAACAAACGATCTGCAACAAAACAACCCACAAGCCCTTGACAAGATCGAATCCGTCAAGCAAAGGCTCCTCCAAGCAAACCCGAGCACGTTGTGAGAACTCCTTTGGGATGGGTTGGCAGTCCTTGAGGGGGAAATAACAATATGATATTTCACTAGATAATATTTACTGTTACGGGTGGTTTGAAAGACCTGCCCCTCTATTTACTACACAAGAACTCTGACAACAATTTAATTTATTGTTGTGGCGTAACTTTATGATGGAGAAAACTTATATGTAGTAGTCTCTATCAGACCTAGATCAGTATGTAATTCAATACAAGATGGTTGTACAACCTTTACACGGTGAGTATGGGTGTGAAAACAATCCAAGTGGAATATTTTTATAGGTTTTTATGGTTTTACAGTGATTCTGGATAAGTAGTGAAACTGTTGGTTGTTGTTGTTGATGTTGATGTTGGTGTTGGTGTTGGTGTTGGTGTTGGTGTTGGTGTTGGTGTTGTTGTTGTTACTGGTGTTGACTAGACTTTAATGTTGAAGGTGTTTGTGTTGATGACCACTGAGCTGGCTGGGGGGGAATGAACCGGCTGCTGAGTGATGATGGGGGGAATTGGTGAAGGAGAGGCCTCCTTATATATTCTTTTCTGAGTTATTTTTGCTGGTGGTGATGCAGTTGAGGTGATTTTGCTGGTGGTGACCTTGTGGGTTGCACTGCCTCCTGCAAAGAGTACATGCATTGAGCTAATTATGCTGTGGAAATAACTAAATATGGTACTACTGTATGTAAGGATTGCATAACTGGTTGCACTGCCTGGTGGAGGTTTTTTCTGTCCACATGCATTTATGCAAAGTCTGCGTAAATTCAATTAAGTAACTAAGTGGAGGCCTAATGGTTGCACATATGCATGCAAGAATTGCATAAATGGTCTGCACTACTGGTGGAGGCCTGCTGATGTAATAATTTATGTGTATGTACTTATATATATGTGGTAAAATACTATTAAATACTAATTAATGACTATTTATGGTATGGCTTTAACCTTTATATTGGATTATCTTCTAAACTAATAGAGATAGAGGTATAGTTGTAGTGAGTGACTATGGGTAAAATTGTATGCAGATTCTGATTATGCAATAATATGTTCATATATGTAAGTGGTTTAGGTTGTAAGGTAGGGGTTTTGGCAGTTTTGTTGCGCACAACAGCCTGGACCACCACATCCCCCCCCAAATTAATGCTGTCCGCAGCATTCCTGGTGTAAGCAAGAAAACTGCCCCAAGCCTCTAGTTGACTAATTTTAATTCATTAATATGTATTGATTCGTAACTGATATCCTACTGATTCTCTTTTTCTTCATGACTTGGTCCTTCTGTTCATCTGATTGGGTTTCCACTTTGATTGAGTTTCCGCCGTCCAGGTTTTTCTTCATTGTAACTTATTTCTTCCTCTCATTCCCAAATTATAATATACGTTTGTCCTTGTTATTCTCCTCGTCTCGTTCTCCGCCTGCCACGTCCAAATCAAAGGCTCCAAATACGACTCTCTTTCATTCTATTTCATGGGTATTAGTCCAAGGAAAAGGCTGGTGGTTGATGTATTTGAAGGCTGTTCCAAAAAGAAAGGTCTCCAACCGCTGAGTCAAATGGGCTTTTGAATACACGTTCAATTCACCGTCCCCCCGGAAGGATTCCTTAACTATTTCTTCCACATTTTTCATTCTATTTTTCCTTCACATCGATAATCTCTATTCAAGTCTAAACTATATTACTATTTAGTATAATTGGTTGATCTGCTATCTTCTGAACTTTCTTCCTGCTTTAGTTTCTAATCTCTTTCTCTGTGTTATTCCAATAAATAAAGCCTCCAGTCCTTGTTATTTTAAAAAATTTGTTTCCGTATAGTACCCGTTATTCTTCTCTTCAATCAATGGCCTAAAATTCGCCTTCTACTGACTTGTTGCTGTCTTCGTTACTTTCTCCGGAGGCGGCTTCTTCTTCCCCCCCACTTTCATTATTACTACTATTACTACTTGTCTCTTCCTCTGATTCGTCGTCTTCTTCCTCTTCCAATTCTTCTTCTGTAAGGTGTCCAATTCACATAGTCCTGTCCCTGCATCAATAATGATAATCCATTTCCTGCCGTGTTTTGATTTTGTGTTTTGGCCCTGCCACTTGATTGATTTTTCCTATCCAAATTAGATTACAGTTTTAAGTCATGTAGGACCTCCCATTGATAATGGGACCTTGATTTATCTTGAGGGTTTGCAGCTTAAGGTCATACAGGACCTCTTTTAGTTTTAATTTTGCAGTTTAAGGTCATACAGGACCTCTTTTTAGTTTTAAGTTTGCAGTTTAAGGTCATACAGGACCTTTTCTCTTTCCTTCCTTTTTTTTTTTTTTTTTTTTTTTTTTTTTTTTTTTTGGTAGAGCTCTGCTGTTGTCATTGCTCTATAATATTTCTGATGCTCCAATGCAAAGATTTTTATTCTTTTGGGCTGAATAGTGCTGGTGCTCTTTGTGGTTGGTTGTCTTGGATGAAGCTTTGAACATAGAAAGAAAGGTCTGCTGCGGTTGACCAACTTGTGCAGTGTCACGAAATTGGTGACACTCGCTCCGCCAAGTCAGGCAGAAAAGAAAATCCGACAGGTCTTCGGGTGCGTGTATGTACTCCCCGCCTTTCGGACTCTAATACCCATCGATGCCCAGAGCCCGCCAACGTCTTCGCCAGCTTCCAACGTACCTCCGTCGGACCCGTCGATCTCGCAACCAGTAAGCTTTCCGATCTATTTACATCATCCCACGCGCTGCAGCGAGCCTAAATGCTGTTGTCTTTTGTTCTGCCGTTCTTGGGTAGTAGTAGTGATCGATCGATGCCAAGATCCTCACCAATGTCCTCGCCGGCTTGCAACCATGCCTCCATCGCATCCGCCAAGCTCTTTGTTTCAACGCCCTCACCGACCGTTTGCCGAGCTGTGTACCGGTAAGTCGCTCTTCTCTTGTCTTCCATATAGCTTTCTGCAGCAAAACTAACTGCTCCTTCGTTTCTCTAGCTGCAACCTTCCTACTAGTCCCTATTTGATCGAGGCCAAAATTCCTCAACGTCCTCGTCGTCTCGTCACAGTACCTCCGCCCGCTCCTCCGAGCTCTACACCGGTAAGTTATCTCTCTTGATTAATGTATTGTTTTGCAGCAAGTCTAACCGTGTCTGCCTCCTTGTTTTGTGTGTGTACTCTCTTAGTAATATTATCGATCGACGCCGGTAGTCCCCTCCAAACATCTTCACCATCTGTTGACAGTACCTCCATTGGATTGCCGCTTCGTTACTCTTAACCGACGCTCTGTCAATTCAATTGCCGCTTCCACCGTCCTCGCCGATTAGCTTGACAGCTCCAGCTTTTCCTCCGACAACGCGATCGCGCTGTGGTCTTGCCACCAGTTGAGCTCAAGCGATGGCGAGATCCGTATCCGACAAACTCCCTTCTTCTCTCCTCCGTTTGTCCGACAAGCACAGCAGCACGACGCCTCCCTATTTGGTCGATCATCGTCCTTCCTCGAAGCTCCTCCCCTTGATCCTTGAATATAAAAGGACCACTCGTCGCCACTTTCTCCTCGGCCTCATCAGCTCCTAGCTCATCTCCTCGGTCTCGTCAATCTTTCGCTCGTCCGATGTTCTTTTTCGACCTCCCGTCTTGTCCGATAGCAACCGAGGAAAGTAGTTACCACCCGAATACCAAGAACTTTTTTTTTTTTTTTTCCCTAATGCTTGTGAATAGATATCAACACAGACATAGCTGAACACCCCTTGTCCATTCTGAGCCATTTTTTTTTTCTCTCCTTTGTGTATGTTGGTAACAAAAATTATATAAAGAAGAATGAAGGCAGGTAAAAGATTCACACATTTAATTATGTCTAGATCAAGCTACCTGATTGTATTCTTGATGTTTTTTTTTTTTTTTTTTTTTTTATTATTTTTATTATTTTTTTTTATAATTCTATTATTGATATAATCTTGAATGAATTTGAATTATTATAGGGCTGAGAAAGCTTGACCGTAAGGGGTTGAGTTGTCCAAGCCTAAGAAAGCTGAAACCTTTGTGTTGAGTATTGAAGAAATTGCTTTGATAGTTGTAGTTGGATTTTCTTCTTTTTACAGAAAAAGTTAGACAGTTTAACCTCTTGTCTGGGAGGCCCATGGTGAGTTCTGTTTGTTCAAGCTTGTCTTGCCCAAGAAAAAACCTGGTTTACTTGAGCTGCCTCTGTCCTTCAAATATTTGACCTCCGGTTTTAAGGTAGAAAAATCCCAAAAATCCTAGTTTCCTTTTGTCGTAGTTGTCTTCCAGGGAATTATCCGCAGTTCCAGTGTAAAATCAAAAAAAAAAATCCTAGTTTCCTTTAGCCACGCTGGTCCTGGAGAGGGAGTTATCCGCTGTAGGTTATATGTCTTGCTGGGGTTGATTACGAGTTACTGATCCTCTGAGAGTCGTCAGGCCACTGTTGGGACACCAGATGTGAGAACTCCTTTGGGATGGGTTGGCAGTCCTTGAGGGGGAAATAACAATATGATATTTCACTAGATAATATTTACTGTTACGGGTGGTTTGAAAGACCTGCCCCTCTATTTACTACACAAGAACTCTGACAACAATTTAATTTATTGTTGTGGCGTAACTTTATGATGGAGAAAACTTATATGTAGTAGTCTCTATCAGACCTAGATCAGTATGTAATTCAATACAAGATGGTTGTACAACCTTTACACGGTGAGTATGGGTGTGAAAACAATCCAAGTGGAATATTTTTATAGGTTTTTATGGTTTTACAGTGATTCTGGGATAAGTAGTGAAACTGTTGGTTGTTGTTGTTGATGTTGATGTTGGTGTTGGTGTTGGTGTTGGTGTTGGTGTTGGTGTTGGTGTTGTTGTTGTTACTGGTGTTGACTAGACTTTAATGTTGAAGGTGTTTGTGTTGATGACCACTGAGCTGGCTGGGGGGGAATGAACCGGCTGCTGAGTGATGATGGGGGGAATTGGTGAAGGAGAGGCCTCCTTATATATTCTTTTCTGAGTTATTTTTGCTGGTGGTGATGCAGTTGAGGTGATTTTGCTGGTGGTGACCTTGTGGGTTGCACTGCCTCCTGCAAAGAGTACATGCATTGAGCTAATTATGCTGTGGAAATAACTAAATATGGTACTACTGTATGTAAGGATTGCATAACTGGTTGCACTGCCTGGTGGAGGTTTTTTCTGTCCACATGCATTTATGCAAAGTCTGCGTAAATTCAATTAAGTAACTAAGTGGAGGCCTAATGGTTGCACATATGCATGCAAGAATTGCATAAATGGTCTGCACTACTGGTGGAGGCCTGCTGATGTAATAATTTATGTGTATGTACTTATATATATGTGGTAAAATACTATTAAATACTAATTAATGACTATTTATGGTATGGCTTTAACCTTTATATTGGATTATCTTCTAAACTAATAGAGATAGAGGTATAGTTGTAGTGAGTGACTATGGGTAAAATTGTATGCAGATTCTGATTATGCAATAATATGTTCATATATGTAAGTGGTTTAGGTTGTAAGGTAGGGGTTTTGGCAGTTTTGTTGCGCACAACAGCCTGGACCACCACAACGTTATCCATACAGCTGGACGCAATCTCTCGACTTCTGGACGGCTCTGCCACCGTGGTCGACGTTCAGTTACCCAAGCAGGTGCAATCAACTCAAGGTAGACCCAAAGGAGCTCTGAACAAACCCAAATCAACAACACGGGACCCGTCGGAATTCGAACACATTGAAAAAAAGAGGAAACTTGAAGAAAAAGCCGCGGAGAAGAACAAGAAACAGAAGACCAAAGAAGAAGAAAGAGCAGGAAAAAAAGAAGAAGGACGATGGGAAAAAGAAGAAGGAAGAAGAGGCCCCAAAGAAGAGGATTCAACCAGTCAGGAAAGGGGCCACCAAACCGGTTGTTGTGGTCCCCAAGACGAAAGGGAAAGAAACCGCACCTGGATCCTCCCCGGTTCAAGCCAACAAGAAGAAGCTCAATATCAATTCCTCCGCTGATTCTTCCGTGCCCTCGTCCCCCAACCCTCCCACCGAACCAGCCCCCTTGGTGCATCTAGAGCCTCCGCCGCCTCCAGCAAACCCCCATCTACCAATCCCCCCGTCCGATCTCGATTACGTTGATTATTTACCAAAAATCATTCAACCTGAAGTCCGGAATGTTGTGGATGTTCAATCAGATGGTCACTGCGGATTTCGGGCTGTGGCTTACGGGTTGGGCCGTGGGCAGGGAGATTATATGGCGGTACGATACGAGATGTATAACAAAATTGTCCGTTGGCCTGATTGGTATCGGAAAGTGTTCCACAAAGTTGAGGGGGCTTTGGCTCCTATCATGGTTGATTCACCAGCACCTTGTCCAAAGGCTCATTGGATGTCCATGCCTTCAATGGGTGAGGTAATGGCAAATGCCTTTGAGAGGCCTGTTTTGTTTTTTTCTACCACCTTTTTTCAGACCTGCCTCCCTTCTTTCTGCCCCCCCCAATTCCAACCCCCCAATTTTTATTGCTTTTCTATATGCATTTTCTCATTTTGTCCCTTTGCAGTTACATAACCCAAGACTCTTTCCGGCCCCTCAGCTCATGAAGGGTTGGAAAGAAAAGGCATCAGAAGAGGCTTGGGGATGGGAAGCCATCTTTTCTGATTGCTTCCAATTGACTGTAGAGAGGAAAATTGAAAATCCAATGAAACACTACTAGGGTTTTTTTTATCCTGTGTCTTTTTTAGTTTTTGATTTTTTTCCTCTTTGTCCTTTTTTACCATGTTTTTTTTCTTATATTTCTCATCAATTGAATTCTTTTATCCCTGTTTTTTTCTTACATTTCTCATTGTTTTTTTGTTTACATTTCTCAACATCTCATCAATTTATTTCAATTATTTCTTGAATTTGTTTTTCTCAATGAATCTAATTTTTAATCATTGATAAAGTGCCTTTGGGGGGGGCCCCAGTGGCTGAACTTTTTTTTGAGTTTTTAGGGTCGCTAGAGGTTGAGGACTCCTGTTTTGAGTTGGACAACTCATTTTTTTAATGCAGAAAAAAGGTTAGAAAATTGGTTGTAATTGGTGCGCCGACTCCCGCCCTTTAGGCGGACGACTCCCTTTTTTTTTAATAAAAAAAAATTAGATTAGTTGGATAAATTGGGGCGCCGACTCCCGCCCTTTAGGCGGACGACTCCCAATTTTTTTAATGAAAAAAAAAATAAAAAATATTTGGCTAAATTGGTACGACGACTCCCGCCCTTTAGGCGGGCGACTCCCATTTTTTTAATAAAAAAAAAATAAAAAATCGCCATTGAAATTAGGACGACAACTCCCCTTTTTTTGGGGGGAATTGGAAGAACGACTCCCGTTCGACGACCTCCCGACCAAAACGGGAGTCGTCAACTAATTTTTAGGAGTCGTTTTTCCAAGCCCCAACAAATATCCCTTCTTAGCACGAATGATCTCATAAGCTTGTTTTGCATGGCAAATCTGACATATGACATTTGTTTAAATTAAAGCACCAGCCCAACAGTCAAACTTGAAGTCCCAACAAAAGGAAGATGTAAATAATGAAGAAGCTGAGAAATCTGATAAGCCTGTTGATACCTTCATTGCCTACATCCACTTCACACCATCGGAAGAGCTTTCACAGCAGGACAAAGAAGATCTCAACTATGTTACAACCTTTTTACATCAATCACAAAAATTTGTCAATGTTATCCAGCTCCCCCAGAAAATCTATTGTGGCAATATGTGGACGATTGGCTGGCGTAAGCCTCAAACAGAGGGTGAGATGGCTGGACGTTACATTGATACACCCGGTATCAAAAAAAACTTCTTCGCCTATTTGGATTATCTGGGGGATGGAGTTTCGGCCAGCTCTATTATACATCGATTATTCTACTCAATTACGGATGTGGCTGTCAATGCAGCAAATAACTTACTGACCTCTCTGGGAATGCCACATTATTCGGACGCCAACTTGAATAACGACAATTTGGATCACAAATTCGCATCCAATTTGGCCTTTACACGGGACGAATTTTCCAATAAACCACACTGTGACGAAGATGCGGGTGCTACCGCATTCCTATCATTAACAAATATCAACAAAAAAGATGGTTCCATTGCTCTGAACAGTCACCTTGATCCCACCTTCATAGGTCCCTTCTTTGTTTTTCCTGATCATAAAGTGGCAATTGACTTGCGAAAATTAAATGGCATATGCCGCGTAGTATTTGATGCAGGCCAATTCGAACATTGTACTCATAATAATCAACCCGCTCATTCAACCCTTACTCCATTTGGATTTTCCCTCCAAATATCCCGGAGTTGTGTTGATGCATTTCGCCGTATCTTTAGTGGGTATTATGAAAACAGAGTAACCCCCAAGAATAACATCCCATACTACCTTGGGGATCATGATTATATCTTCAATAAAGTTGTTGACAAATTTGTTTAAACTGTTTCTATTCCTTCACTCACAATCAAATATAAAAATCGTGTTTTTTTTTGTTTATGATTATAATAAGAAACGCAATTGATTGAAAAAGAGAACTGGTTTTTCATCTAACACCTATATACTAGCCTTCTTTGTGAGTACATTTCCGTGGAATCTATTTCAAAAAATTGTATGAGTAGAGAGAGTAAGGAGGAAATACAAGCTTGTAACAACAACACATAATCCTAGTCGGTGGTGGTTGCAGGATGATCAGATAACCAGCCAGAAGAAAGAGCTCCATTGGCATAATTAATGATATGAGAAAGACTGGATTTTATCGGAAGGGAAGATTGCATTTGTATTTGGTGAGCAGGTGGTCTTTTAGGAGTCGTAATTCTTCCAGTAAGTCTTTGTAGTTGGTTGGAAGTTGAAATGTTTGAGGGATTATCTTTATTGATTGTATCAGGAGATTCCAATCTGAGTTGTATACAAAATTTGTTACAGATGTGGTTTTTGATAAACATCGAAATGCCTTCCTTTGCATTATTACCATCAGCCCATCGCCTAAAAGTAAGAAATTAAATGAGTGTGATGCATTCAAAATCAGCAAGTGGTAACCATTGACTTACGTATGGTCCAAATCAATGATTTGTGGTCCGGTGAGGATTGGCCCAACTCCTTGTAAGTCACAAATCAAGCTGTTACCCTTTGATTCAACATAGGACCAGTGTGTGAACGCATTCATTAATTGACAGATTCTCGGTTCCATTCTAGGTTGATCTTCAGCAACATCAAAGTCAATGTTACTTGAATACTTGACATATGTGCCCTCCAGGGCTGCTTCCAAGAAAAAGACTTCGGAAGGGAATTGAGTATCTCCGGTTGCGACAACAGCGTGGCGTACAATCTAGCAATTAAAAGATGTTAGCTTATGAAAACTCAAACCTATGAGGCAAAGGATATGACAAACCTCCATTTTCTTTGCTCTTTGTTTGAATTGTTGTTTGACTCGGTTACTTTCAGCAATGATCGACTTGAACTTTCTCAATAGAAGTCCACTAGCTTCATACATCATGGCATCATTTGCATGGAATGAGAGTGATGACACATTTTCTTTATATCGAATCTTTGCAACATAGTTTGAGATTATTTCCGCGCCATCTTCAGAAATTGATTTCACTTCAGCCTTCAATGCACGTCTCATACTTCCCTGACCAATGATCACATCCCTAAAGATCCTTAATGTGATGGGTTTGGTATCTGCCTTCAGCAGTTTGTATTCAGTTCGTTCAAAGGTCTTGAATATAAATTGATTGGCATGGATCCAGCCAGTTTTGACAACATCAACAATATCATTATTATTCTGTCCCAGAATACATAGCTGGGTGGACAGGCTGGAACTTCCCAATCGGGGCATTGTACCTAGAGAATAGTATGGTTTTTACAATGAATATTTATACAAAATAAAAGTAATATAAACTACAAATGAGCTGACTTGCAATACCCGCAGAAGCCCATGAGTTCCGAATTTTCTTCACGGGGGAGACACCTGATATCGTAGATCGAGAGGTTTTGTTTTTGGGATGATGGTCTTGAAGAGGGTTTTTGACCAAAGGTTGGGTTGGCAGTGGCATGATTGTGATATTGTCATCAGAGGACGTATTGTTGTCATCAGATGAACGAGACTGATTAACAGACTTTTTTCGGCAAGTTTGGGTTGACTGTTTTCTAGAATGTCGAGTTGAATCATCAACCAAAGACTTTTTCCTGGAAGATTGAGTGGATGACTTTGCAATCAAGAGGTTTTCTTCCAAAGAGCAGTTACTATCATCAGAAGAATCGTAATCCTTAGAGCGTGACTTGCTAAATTTGGTATTTGTGGTTGATCTTGGTCGCGAGGATCGAGTTGCCGGCTTGGAAGAGGTGTTGCTGTTGTTGTTGGAAGAAGAATATTCTGAATCTGAGGATTTATCTTGAGGAGTTTTGTATTGATAAATAATGTTGATCAGGACAGGCTTTTGGTCATTTGACTTCCTAACAACATATTCTAGGGCTTCTGGAGTGGGCAATACACTTTTCCCTTGGGCAAGGCTGACACATCCTTCTGATGAATCGGGTGAGTGAGGGAGTAATGATTTTTTCTCAAGCTGGATAGAAAACAACCCCCAGAGAGAGTCGAGAAGGTCTCCATAAAGCTTTGGGTTGTCGAGGTCGACTTTCTGCTTCACATTGAGAATGCCGGTCTGGGTGTTGATCTTGTTATTGACATATAAAACAAACCCACAGTCAATTAAACGTTTGTTATCCTTGTCGGAAGTTGATTTTGAGGAGGATCGGGGAGGCTTATTCTTGGAATATGGTGCGACTTGAGTTCTTTTGTTTATTCCTGACAGCATTCTGAAAATATTCATCGAGGGCTGAAGTGCTTGTTGGGGGTACTGAGGAGGGCTGGGAGCTGGGGCGAATGACAGTGTTTCTTCGGAAAGGAAATTGGGAACTGGTTGTTGCTGGGGGATTGGATGAGGTTGAGGCGAGTGGCTGATGGAGGGATGCTTCAATATGATGTTGTTTAATACCGGCATCTTTCAAGCAGAAATCACACCAGCCAAGTAAAATAGAATCAGTAGTGCGACCACACTTTCCACAAGATGGCATAATGATAAGGGGGATGTGTAACAAGTAGTGGGGATTGGTAAGTAAAATAATAAGCTGGTGGATGGATTGTTTCACAACTGGACTTGGAGGAGGATTTTTGACACTATCTCTCATCTTTTTAAGCTGCTTCCATTTGTGTTACTTGTCAGTTTGATCAATTGTTGTACCATTCTGAACACAATTTGTGTAGTAGAGCATGATTGTTAAGCAACAAGTAGCATAGTATCTCGGTATGAGTCTCACAAGTAGATAAATTACACAAAAGCCATGGCAAAAACAAGAAACTGAATCGAAAATTGTGGTTACAACTGACTTGCAGGCTATATTATCTTTTACAAAATAAAAGAGTTTTAAAAAGAGCTAGGTCTTTGAAACAAATATAACCCCAGACAAACAAGTCATGCTGAACTGGAGACAATATGGGTGGGAGCCCAATTAGCCAAGGTTTGATATTACGCAGAGTTGACTCAATTCACAACTATTCATCACCCTGGTAGGGGTGGTCAGTGTTTAATAAACCCATCTTTTCATCCTCATCAACCTTGAATCACAAGATAATTTTAGATGAAAGCTGGGAATACATAACACCAAGTTGAGTGCCTTAAGGACCGCGTGTGAAGTGATGTGGTATTCAGAAACCAGAAAAGAGATAGAAAAAAAATAACAAGCATAAAGACCATCAAGACTTTTTTTTTTTTTAAAGTGTGATTTTGCCTTTAGGATGGCACAGCTTGGGACCTCAGGGTTGATAAACATGTCTAATTTATATTATTCAAAAAGAAATTGACAATCTTATGTACATACAAATGAACTGCAAACTGGAAATAAAAACAAAAATTAATGTAAGCTCCGTAACTAAGAAGACAAAACTGCTACACAATTCATAAGATGAAAAGTGCAACCCCAATTTATAAGATGGTTTAAAGGCTTCAACTCAAGGAGCAGTACTAAAGATCTATATTCCCCACTTGTAACGGTGAATCTGCAATGGTTATAGACATCTTTAAAAATTAAAGACAGCTGCACAGGAATACCTGACTAAGTGGGGTGTTAACACAAGAAAAAAGAGCAACTAATAAGGAGTTATGAGACAGTAGGTGAGTGAGACTCTCTTATGGTATAGCAGGACTCAAAACTTGGGGTGACTGGGGTTAAGGATGGTCTGCTATACCAAATTAGAATTCTCAGCTGAGACTCGCTCGGTGTCACTGTTGCATGCATAACATGTAAAAATCACTCTCATGCTGCTGGGATAGACAAAACCGAGACCAACTCATCCAAAGAATCACTGGAGAAACCTACCAGGTAAGCTAGACCTATTCCTTTACTGACTGACTGAATGCTTAAGTTGATCGGAAACGGAACGCTGACCCTTCCGATGTGTTGAACTCTTGTATCAGGACAGGTGGGTGTCAAAAGATTGGACTTGGTTTGGAAATATCATCGTCGATCGTATCTGAATACCTCAACAGCCGTGATCATATCGTAAGAATGGGACGAAAGAATCAGTCGAACGGAGGAGCAGGCGACCCGAACAACGATACTACTCAAGCGGCTGCTGACCCAAACCAAGACCAGAAACCGCCGAATGATAACCTGCAAGCCGATCAAAAAAGCCAACAGCAGATGAAGAAACAATCCAGCCCACCCAAGCCGAAAACCAACCCAAGAGCGCCGACCCCTCCTCCATCTCATGAAGCCGAACTCGAAGAACAGCATTACTACCATGTCGATAAGCTGCTCGATCGCACCGGTCCTATGGTCGACTCTTCCTTCGAAACCGGCAGCACGGTACGCTCTCCTTTTTCTTTAAATCCACCCGGACAAACAAGAGCCCTGCAGACTCATTGCTTCTTTTTTTTCGGTTCGACTCGTGATTTTTTTTTTCTTCACATCAAGCCAAAAGATTTTATTCGCAAGACTTGTAAGGTGCTTGTGATCGGAGCTGGTGGACTAGGCTGTGAGTCAACCCCCAAACCCATCTCGTGTTCTTACTTTTCATGAAATTTGTAGACAGCTAACCTCTAGCGCATATGTATTGACAAATTCGCAGGTGAGATCTTACAGAATTTGGCGCTGTTGGGATTTGGAGACATCCATGTGATCGACATGGATACAATCGACATCAGTAACTTGAACAGACAATTTCTGTTCCGGTCAGTCAACCCATTCCCAATAATTCTCAACAAAATTATCCTACATAGTTCTAATGTGTCGATTATTCCTCATACGACCATAGAGAAAAGGACATCGGCCAGCCCAAAGCGGACGTGGCAGCCAAGTTCATAATGCAACGGGTACCTCAAGTCAAAGTGACGCCGTAAGTGACCGACGATTTCCGTGATTACGCCCTACCAGACGACTAATCGAGATGTCTGTGGATTGTTACTAGCCATTATTGCAAGATTCAAGACAAGGATGAAGCGTTTTACATGATGTTTAACCTGGTGATCTGCGGGTTAGATTCTGTCCCAGCGCGCCGATGGATCAATGCGACGATCGTGAATCTGGTGGATCCGGAGAACCCGGACAGCTACAAGCCGTTGATCGACGGCGGCACCGAAGGTATGGTCTCTTAGCTCTGTTGTGCCTCAGGGGAGAGCAAGGTGGTAGGCTGACAGATGCTGGCCAGGCTTCAAGGGTCAATCGCGAGTGATTCTACCGACTATCACCTCCTGCTACGAGTGTTCGTTGGACATGTTGACCCCGCAAACGGTCTTCCCCATCTGCACAATCGCCAATACCCCTCGGCTACCTGAACATTGTATCGAGTGGGCGAGTGTCTTGGAATGGCCGCGCGTGTTCAAAGGTCAATCATTCTTTATTACTCTCCATGTACCTTGATTTCAACAGGATCTGATATCTTCTTGTGATCGGCTCCCACTACGAAGACAAGAAACTGGACAACGATAATCCTGACCATATCCAATGGCTTTTCGAACAAGCTTCGACTCGAGCCGAGCAACACCATATCAGCGGCGTCACCTGGAGTCTCACCCAAGGCGTCGTCAAAAACATCATCCCCGCTATTGCTAGCACTAATGCTATCATCGCTGGTAAGCATTCCTTCCCCTCCTCGTTTGTAGGTAAAAGGTAACAACTACAAGATTCTGATCGGGGGGTTTGGCTTGTCTCGGCAACTCGACTTGGTCAGCCAGCTGCTGTAACGAAGCTTTCAAGATTGCGACTAGTTGTGCTCCTTACCTGAAAAACTATATGTGAGGATCGTCTCTTTTTTATTCTCAAAGTCAACAAGCCTTTTTCAGAGGCTGTTTTTTCATGGGACTACAGAAAGTTAACTTGTGATATGACTTTTCTATTGGGGAGGATAGGATGTACAACGGAAGCGAATCGATTTATACGTATACCTTCCAGCATGAGAAGAAGCCCGATTGTCCAGTCTGCGGGGGCGAGTCGGTCCAACTGACGATCTCGAAGGACTGGTTCTTGCAACAGTTGGTCGATCATTTGGTGGAAAGACCAGACTTGTAAATCTCTCCCCCCCTCCTCGTTCATCTCCAACAGATACGAACCGATTATTAACCTTGTGGTTTTTGTTGAACAGTCAGATTAAGCAGCCTTCGTTGTCGACTCCCAAGGGCCCCCTGTTCTTTCAAGGGCCTCCGGAATTGAGGAAGGCTACTGAACTCAACTTGGATAAGAAGTTGCTCGATCTGTTTCCCGATCATCTGCAGGACCCAATCGAAATCACCGTTACCGATTCTAGCTTGCCCTTTCAACTCAGTCTGCTTGTAAAACTCCATTGAATCTTCTGCCCTCACTTCCCTCGCTTAGGGAAAGGATCAAAAAAAGTAATTGTACTATTGGTATGAACTAAAAACCATGGTTGGATTTTATTTTGGGTTGGTTTGAAAGAGAAAAATTCCATCAGTCTGTGTTCTCTCTCCTTCATCTAACTCAATCTCATTTTCTTGAACTGGACTCAAGGCTTCAAAAGTGTTTTTGAATGAACATGTTATCTTGGTAAGCTCTACTTGAGATGATACACACATGTAAATTCCTAACTCTGGTCTTGTTTTTCTCATTGAGTGAGATAACATCAGCTTGATTAAGCAATTCAAGAGTTGTTCTTGTTGGTCAGGATGATGATCAAACAGTTTGAACCAATTCAGACACACTGCACTGACTTTTTATACTGATGATTGATGAGTCAACCGTTGCTTTTTCTTTCTTTCTTTTGTTCTTTCTCCAGTTGTTCATGAATTGCTTTCTTCATCCATCAAAAACTGTTTTCACAATTGCTCATTAGTGAAGAGAAACAAGGAAACCTAGAAACAAGTTTGGGTGATTGTGATAAGAAGATTTGTTTGTTTTTGTGTTTGTGTGTGGGGTTCAACATACTGTTGTCAAACACAAGGCCAGTGGCCCAGTTTGATGAATGAGCCAACTGCAGGTAGAATCAGCAACAAGTGTCCTGATTTGATCTTGCTTCTAATCTCATGATCATGATGCTCTGGATGTGCTTGTTTCTGGATTACTCATGTTGATGATGACTGGAACCCAATCTGCTTGGCTGTGTATTCTTTTGTTAGCTTGAATTGACTATGTCTTTTGCTTGAATCCAACTATAGGACTCTGCAGATAGAAGATTCAGGGCTAGACCAAGCAGTAAAAAATTGACAATAAAAAGATGGCTCATGGCAAGTGAAGTATATTTCAGGATGAGGTGGGGGGATAGGAGGTTCATTGTTCCTATGGGGTATAGACAGACAACTGGCTCTGCTTGCTCTTTGTTGGATTCCCACTGGATGTGATCAGTCAAGAATCCAGAGCCTGTTTTTGGCCTTTCTTCTCCTTACAATCAATCATCATGTCCTTCCTTTTCAAATGAGGAGACTCAATCGTGTCTCTCCATCAATCCAATGTACAAGCTTCACCCATTTCAATAGTGGACTTTTTTGTGCACCAAGGATGGGCCAAAGCACATGAAAGAAAAAACAAAACTCAATAAAATTTGCAGCTTGGGTTATTTGTGAAGCATCATCATCTGCCTGGAAACTGGGCTATAGACATCATGCATACATAGATAATGGTGGCACACCAATCAAAGGTTCTGGGAATGAAAACCATGCATGCACATTCCCTGTGGCTAGCTTATAATTTGGTCCATCCCCTGGTGTCTGGTGCAACATGAAATCCAGCTCACTTCAGCCCTCTGAGACCCATAACCAAGGACTACAGGTGTCCAATGTAGAGATGGCCCCGGCCCATCCGGATATCCACGCCAACGGTGGGCCGCTACACTAACCGTAGCGGTTAGTGTAGCGTAATGCAGCGGAATCGCTGTTAGCAATTAGCGTAGCGTAGCGGAATTCCGCCACGACACCGCTAACGCTACGCGTGTGGGCCGCAAAGAAGGGCCCACTACGCTGCGCTACAGCGGTTTTTGGCCGCTTTTTCCGCTAAAAGCGCTGTAGCGCAGTGTAGCGTAGCAAAAAAACCGCTAACACAATACGGTTTTTGGATGAAAAAAAGCGCTGCTACGCTACGCTTTTTTGGCCAAAAGCGTAGCGGCCCACCGCTGTCCGGGCGGATGCAGATATCCGGCTGCTTTTTCCAGGGAAACAGCCATCCGCACCCAAATCTGCAGCCGCTGGCGGGTATCCCCCCACCTTAGCAGGTATCCGAGCGGGTATCCTTGGTTTCCTTCCAGCCGGCAAGGTACATCCTTGCCGACTGGAAGGGTTTCCTTCCAGTTGGCGAGTTACATCTTGCCAACTGGAAGGGTTTCCTTCCAGTTGGCAAGGTACATGTGCCTTGCCGGCTGGAAGGGTTTCATTCCATTTGGCAAGGTACATGCCTTGTTGACTGGAAGGGCCTTCCAGCTGGCAAGGTACACGTACCTTGTTGACTGGGGGTTTCCTTCCAGTCAGCAAGATACATGTGCCTTGCCGGCTGAAAGGGTTTCCTTCCAGTTGGCAAGGTACATGCCTTGTTATCTGGAAGGGCTTCCTTCCAGTAGGCGAGGTACATCCTCTCCAACTGGAAGGACCTTGCCGGCTGGAAGGAAACCCTTCCATCCGGCTATTGGCCTTGGGTATCCGTGGGGATACCCGGATATCTGCCAGATTTGGGGGGGAAAACAGCCATACGCAGCCAAATCTGCACCCCCTGGCGGGTAGCCGCCAGTGGATAATGGATATCTGTGACCATCTCTAGTCCAATGCCTAGTAGAAGGCTTGCACCAGCCAGATAGAGTTCTGAGTTTGCCTCCAAGAGCCCAGAATCATCATATAAGGAGAAATTCCCGCACCTGAGCTCTATTTCTCCATCTTCATTACCATTTACTAGCAATAATCACCTTCAAATATCAGTTTTTGCCTGTTTTTTGGCCCAGTTCCTGCTGTTTCTGTCTTGGATATCACCAACCCAAAAATCAACCGATCCTCAGAACTGTTCCACCACCTGCTACCCAGCTCTATGAGCACTTCCAGACCATTTTCCACCCACCTGAAGTCCCCCTTGTCTTGGAAATAGTACTAGTAGGTAATATTTCCTTGATACTTCAGTTGTAGTGTAAGGACTGCGATTGTCCTTCACTGGATGAGTCGAAAAAAGGCGCAAGGGACAGGCAAAGAACCTAGAATTTTCTAAGACCAAACGTGGGGGAGCTTTTTATTACTGGCTCAGAGAGATGGGAGGGCAGATCTCTCAGTACAATTCTAGAAAGAGAGAAAGACAAGAAGAAAAGGAAAATAGAGCTTACCTGGCTCAGAGAGATGGGAGGGCAGATCTCTGCAGAGCCAGGAATGTGAAAAGGGAAATGAAGACTAAGGGGAGAGTGTGACATGTGAATGAAAGGTTTGTGAACCCAGCCAGAGGAGGGGTTTACAGTCTCCCCTCCTATAAAAAAATTGAAGAAGGAGGAAAGGAATAAGACAAAACAAAATTCATAAAAAAAAGAAAGAAGAAAGGAAAAGAAAAAAAAAGGAAGTAGTAATAGAGAAAAAGGAGAGATAGAATCCAGAGGCTTGAGTCAGGCATGTCCCAGATGACCGGCAATAGCATCCGCTAGGTCGGCCTGTTCGGCCTTCTCAATCTCGTTCGCGAGTAGTTGTCTGTCAAGATCTTCAAGTGCCGCCACAGCGGCCGGTTCCATACTAGGGTAGTAACCTTCATCGTTGAAGTAAGTATCCCAACGGCCGTCCTCTCGTATCGCTGCGTCTAGTTGTAGTGCCGAGACTTGGGCTTCGAGGGGCGTGACGTCTGTAACACCTGCGACGCTTGCGGCACGGGCTGAAGGTCGACCCGCGGGAGGTTGAGTGGGTTTTCCTGGGGTGGACAATGGGCCGGATGGGCTACTCCAAGCGCGCGGGGCTGAGTAGTCGACCGGTTTCGCTGGGGCTTGATAGTTAGCTGGAATGTCGACATGGGCCCTATTTAGCGGTCCCGGGCAAGCACCGTTCACACTGCCGCAGTGTTTCTTGCAGAAGTGGCAAAGGCCCCGTGAGTCGAGGAAGGAATGTACCCTCCAGATGAATTCGTCGCGGGATAGATTCGGTGTCGTACTCGACGTTGGGCGGAGCAAAGCGGGTGTTTCGGCGGGGCGTTGCAGTGCGAGGAAGGACGCATTGGCCTGCTTCTCGAATGGACCGTAGGTAAAGGGGGACGTCTCGAGAAGCTGGCGTTCGTTGATTCGATCCTGTAGGGCATCCGTCAACCCGTATACCAAGAACTGGGCCAATTGGAGGTCCCCGAGTTTTGCAGTCTCCGCGGCATCGAAGTTGAAAAGACTTTGCAATGTGCGCGCCCGTGTACTGTACTCGAGGAAGGTTTCGGTCGGGGACATCTCGAGTTTTCGGACTTGTCGTTGCAAATTCGACCGCCAGTTAGTGGGGAGAGCGAAGTCGAACAACCGAGTCTTGAATTCTTCCC